AAGGGAGGGGCACAAAGAAGAGGGTTGAGATAAGAATATAAGAACATAAGAACAGCCATACTGGGTCAGACCAAACGTCCATCTAGTCCAGTATCCTGTCTGCAGACAGTGGCCAATACCAGATGCCTCAGAGCACACAACACAACAGGTAATCCTCATATGATCCCTCTCATCACTCATTTCCAGACAAAGGCTAGGGACACCATTCCTATCCATCCTGGCTAATAGCCATTGATGGACCTAACCTCCATTAATCTAACTCACTCTTTTTTGAACCCTGTTAAAGTCCTAGTCTTCACCACATCCTCTGGCAAGGAGTTCTACAAGGTGACGGTGCGCTGAGTGAAGAAGTACTTACTTTTGTTTGTTTTAAACCTGCTGCCTATTAAATGATAAACGATAGTGGCCATCGAGAACACTGAGTACAAGGGAGAGCTATATTGCAAAGAGACTACTGGAGGCAGCCACATCACCAAGAGTGGCTGAGTAGCCCTCCTACCCCAAACCCTTCCTTCCAGCCCTTAGCTGCAACACTGGGGGGCCTGGAGGGAGAAAAAAGGCCCCTGACAGCCAGGGAAGGAGAAAAGGCACCTGCCAGTGGGGAAGGGAAGAGAAATCCCCACCAAATGGGACTCCCTGCCCTGAGCCCCTCCATACCCTCATCCCTCACTCTTGCCCACTGCCACACCTCCAGCCTCCTGCCCTTCCTCCCCCCCACCATGTCCTCTGTACTATCAGCCCCTGCCCTGATGGACCCAGGCAATGCTCGGTAAGTCTTCTAGTATATACAGGGTATCCATGATGAACATCCAAGACACGTTTCAAAAAACGTGGCTGTACAGCAAAACAACCTGAAGTGGGGATTTTTTTTCCCGCAGCTGACTTCCAATTGCATAGGGTTTTTTTTGGCGCAACGTAAGAGCGGGGAATGCGAGCACTTATAATGCATCAGTTCCTACAAGTGTCAACAAAATTAATGCAGAACTGATGCATATTGGGGTAACTTATAGTGGAGATGCCTTGTAAATAAAACAAGAGCGATGTTTATATATTTACACGTGTAATTTAGGAACAGACAATCATCATAAATGTTTACAATTTTTGCTGATGTGTAAAAGAATGTAATCAATATAATGGCAGGACTACTAGAAAATATGGTCAAATAAATCAATGCATAATACTTTAAAATACAGAAGAGAACTAATTTTGTTTAATTAAGGCCACATCTATACTTACCTGAGGATCAACGCTCCAGAGGTTGATCTTCTGGTGTTTGATGTAGCGGGTTTAGTAAGAACCCGCTAAATCAAATGCTGAGGGTACCCCCATCAACACTGGTACTCCTATTTCTTGCAAGAAGTAAGGGAAGTTGAAAGGAGTGTTTCTCCCAACAACCTCCCACTGTGGGAAAAGCGCCAAAGTTCGAATTAAGATATGTCGACTCCAGCCACGCAATTAACATTGCTGGAGTTGAGTATCTTAATTTGAACTTATCCCCTAACGTAGACCTAGCCTTAGCAACGCACATATTTTCTTTTTTTTAAAAGACACTCAGAGGAATAAGTTAATTTCAGAACTATGTCATATAGTGTGGCTGTTCCCCATGCTTCCCCATTCACTCCTAGGGTCTTTATCTGATGGCTGTGCAGATATAATGTACAAAAGAATTAAGCTTCAGGTGGTAGGTGAGTTAGTCTGTACAGGATAAACTTTATCAACAACAAATGGTCTGGTAGCACTTTATAGACTAACAAAACATGTAGATGGTATCATGAGATTTCCTGGGCACAGCCCACTTCTTCAGATGACCGGAGTTTTTTAAAGTGATTTAAATGAATTAAGTGATTAAGGGAAAAGGGACATCTCACACAACTAGTTCTGTCCTGATGGGTCCCAGTTGTTCCCATGGGCTTGACTCCTCTCCAGATGATACAGAGGGGAGATGAGAAGACCCATACACCAGTCTCTGCCACTTTCTATTTCAGTTAAATTAAGAGCAGTGCAGAAAGTAAAATCCCTTTGTAATTAGGGATGTTAACTATCAGATATTCGTATAAACGTTTAACCACTGGAAATTTTAGCAGTTACACATTTACTCCAGGGAGGGCTAACTGGCGGGAAAACCATCTCCACACAAGCACTGGCTTTCACCTGCCACCACCCCCACTGCCTCTGATAAAGAGGCAGCAGCATGGAGGGCAGGCGGCTCTGCAAGAGCCAATATGCATGAGGAGCAGGCTTGAAAGCTGCTTCCCATGTGTTCTGGCTTCCACCTGCCCGCCCCCACTGCTGCCTCTGATACAGAAGCAGCAAGGGGCGGGGGAGTGTATGTGTAGTTGGCAGAATTAACTGATAAGCCCAGGTTTATCAGTTAATCGCATAATCTACGACACTTGTACATTGCTATTTGTAATGGGACCTCTGCTATGTAAAATACATTCATTCTTATGCTGAATTATATTTGTGTTTTTACTGTCTTGAAAAATAATAAAATGTAATTTTTGTGGAGCTAACAGACCACTTGGAAGAGAAATTAGAATGTAAGTTCTTTCAGAAATGCACTTGCAATTAAAACAGCAGATCATGATGTGCCTATCATCTAAAGAATTATTACAATTATAATTTTAAAAAATTGCTTCCAGAAGTATTATAAATACTAAAAAGGTTTCGGAAAAATCTTCACTATGATTCAGGGGTAACATGGCAGGGAATCAACTTAAGCCACAGCAAACAGGCTGACACTAAGGGGAACTGTCAAAGCTGAGGAACCATTTCTTTCAGAATCCGCTCAACCATTAACCTTTCCTCATACCCTAAAGGCAGAGTAATTACAGTAATGGAGAACAATTACTGCAAAACCTAACTAGCCTGCACAGGACCAGCAAATGAAGGGAGAACATAGCAGGGAGTGGTAAAGGGCAGGGAAACAAACAGGATTTTTTTAAAAGGAGAACTTTGATAAATCAGAACCTTTGTATCCCCAACCTATTCAGGATGACTTGGTTTCCCCCTGTAATAAGGACAAATAGTCCTCAAGTTTTCACCAATGACTACAAATGGGGTAGTTGACCTGGTGATCAATATAATGATCTAGTCAGTGTATGAAATGCTAACAGGTGTACAGTTCTATTTGAAACATGTATTTAGCCAGATCCTTCTCATTATTCTCAAGCCAAGATGAAATATGGCCAGGGTGGAATGAGATTCCACAAGCTGGGCACTTGTATTAAGACCATCACTTCAGAGCATAAGCTAGAAAAGAATCACATAGTTGGAGCCTCTTGAATATTTCTCCTGTTTACACTCAAATAAGAGAGCACTGTAAAACCGCACTCTCTTCTTGGCAGACTCTAAATTCCACTTGAATGGGGTTAAGTCCATTGCCTGGGACCTTGCACCTAGCACAAGAGGGCCATGCAGAAAAGAACATTCAAGGCAAATTACTGGTGGGATGGACATAGACAAGTCATAAATCAAAGATGCTCCATCACCATCCAGGAGAGAACTGATTTAAATCCAGCGCACACACAGGTAGCAGCCCAAGACCTAGACACACATACAGAGACTTTGCAAACTTATAAGGTGGCATACCCAGGCCAATCCAAGCGTGTCGGCACAGGAAGTTTAAGACCCTCCCTGGGTTCAAAGTGAGCCTCGCCATTTCGGGGGCATCCCAAGAGAGTGTCAGTGTGTCTGTCCTCACAGAAATCCAGCAGTGTCACCACGGAGCCAAAAAAACAAGCCTCCCTGAGACAGCTGCTGCCACAAGGCTCCTGCTCTCCGCCCATACCCCGTGCAGAGCAGCTGAGGCTACGGATTTTGCTTCCCCAGCAGCAGCCCTGGGGTGGTCACAAGGGGCTTGCTTCCTCTCTCGGCGGGGGCAGAGGAGAGGGAGGAATCCCAGCCGGGAGGCCCTGGGCTGAGAGCCTGCAACCGCACTGCTCCTGCCCAGTGCCGGGACCCCGCGCCCGCAGCG